AGATAGATAGATAGATAGATAGATAGATAGATAGATAGATAGATAGATAGATAGATAGATAGATATTTTGAACAAATTCAATAACAAAAAAACAAGAATAGACATACATGCATGCATATTAACACATACACAAAAATACAAAAAACTTTGCAAAATAAGAATCATCAGTTATTTTCATCACCGGTACTCATTATCAATATTTTAAATAATACACACACAGCCTTGTGAGTAAACATAAACTGCATCGATCTCTCATACAATAACTTTAATGTAATAGATATCTGCATCCATTGGGTGTTGTGTTTGGAATCACCTGCTTCGTTTTAAGGTGGTAAACTAATTGCTTGTATTTATTCCTTTCTACGCACTTTGCAGATTATTTTTTCTGCACTCCATATGATTAATCTGTGTGCGCTCCGGCGGGGTGACAATCATTATAGTCACGCTTTGGAGTGCGCGCGCATTTGGCCGTGCGTCGTCGCGCTATGACCGCAGAAGAAACTAGGTCCAGACTGATTTTTTGTGTGTCCCACCTGAGCACTGACTTCACCTGCACTGACAGTCGCCTCGCTGCGTGGAAATGAATGGAGAGAGAGCGACGTCGCCTCCCGTGTGTCGAGCCCTTCACACATGCCACGGTGCGCACTCCACCCGCAGCAGCCAGTGTGCCCGGTCGGCATCCGACCGGAGGACGCACTGTCATGTAAATATGTAAACAGTTCGGCGTTCATTTTCGCACACCCGGGCCCGGATAAGTTATGTTTTTTTCCCCCTCTCTTCATTTGCGCTCTCAGCCAGGCTGCTTCCCGCTTCCTCTGTTTTGACTCCAGCTGGTTACATCATCAAAAAGAATTGTGCGGTTGGCCGGTAGAATACAGATMTCTATCATAGGACAAATTTATATCGGTTCTACCGTATATCGTTKATATCGCGCATTCCTACTTATAACCCTCATCTTCCACAGCTGGCATGGCCYCTCCTTACCAGAGTTTGAAACTTAGTTTATCTTCTGTAGAGAAATGAATGGGCCATGAGATTTTTTGCTAACAGACAGACAGAACTCACACAAAGACTCACAGCGTGATAAAACTGTCTTTATATGAAGTAAAATGTCAGACTAATGCATCAAGCTCTTAATTTTCTGCAGGTTTTGAATGATGTTGTGTTTTCTGTCCTGTTTCCGCWCAGGAAGCCATGATGGATCACGCTCTGCAGACCATCTCTTACATAGCAGACATTGGCAACATCGTGGTCCTGATGGCCCGCAGGAAACAGAAAGGGCAGGAAGCTGACGCTGCCTGTAACGCTTCCTCTTTATCATCCTCAGCGTCTCAGAAGAAGTGCAAAATGATCTGCCACGTCTTCTGCTCTGAGGATGTAAGTTCGTTTTTCTTTACATCCTCCTCCTGAAAGGTTGGATGTGATCTTTTGTTGCTCTCATCCTGGACTCAAACATCTTTTCTGGTTATTTAAGTGTGAGTTTTCATCAGTATGGGACAAACAGCCTCACAGCACAGCTCTTCATCTTATTTACACTGTTTTTCTTTTGGACAAGAGTTTCAGCTTCAGCTTGGCCTGGTTTCACTCCAGCAGGCAGCCCCGGACTCCTCCTGAGAATAAAAATGCTCGKCTTGTTGTCCCAGTTTTCAACAAATGGCAACGCTGAATAGAAGGACTGAGTTACTTTTAGCAGCTAATAAGCTGTGGGTCACTGAAGGCCAAAAAACCTCTTCTGTTTTTTTCTCTCTGCTTATTTTATCAAACATTACTGCTCATGAAGTGTTGATGAATTAGATTTTTTGATTTAACTTTCTCTATTTTGATTTGATTTATTGCTTCACAATTTGATGCAGATCAAAAATTAGCCTCTGCTGTGCTAATTTTACTGTTATTTTTACTTAATCTTTCAACATTCACAGTTCATGGTAATGTGATTTTTTTTTCTTTAATTTGATCTAATGAAATTAGTGTTTAATGTAGCAAGAAAACTGTCAATAAATCTCATTACTGCTTCAGTGTAAGTCAGCAGACATTAACGTTGCATTTTAACTGAGTCGGCTTATTTTTGCAGGCTCAGATCATAGCTCAGGCCATTGGTCAGGCATTTGGAGTCGCATATCAGCAGTTCCTTCAGACAAACGGCATCAAGGCCAAAGATCTGAAGCCGGGCGAGTACAGCGAGTACCTGGAAAGTCAGGAGCTCTACAATGGAGACCTGGCCCACTTTTCAGACTCCCAGAACCTCCGAGATGTAAGACGTTTGTTCGTTTCTCACTTTTAACTCTGTATTTGTCCTTTTGTTCTTATTGTAAAACTCACATCTCTTGTCTTGTGTTCAGATAGCCATCACCAAGGCTCCTGGAGATATCCTGGGCCTGGCGGTGGTGGAGTCGGGGTGGGGTTCCATCCTCCCCACCGTGGTGGTAGCCAACCTCCTCCACGGCGGCCCAGCCGAGCGCTGCGGCGAGCTCAGCATCGGCGACCGCATCATGTCTGTCAACGGCACCAGCTTGGTGGGTCTGCCTATCACCACCTGCCAGAACATCATACGGGTGAGAAATGGAGACACGGGCCTAAAGTTCAGTGAAATGATGCCAATTCTCAGGGACAAATTTGTTTTATTTTTATTTTTTACCAAGCTTCCATCTTACATGTACTTAATCAGAGCTGCCTCTAGGTGGCACTGTGGCTCCACTTGTTTATTGTTTGGACCCAGTTTATTGG